CAGTTGTTTTTGATGACTCTGAGCAAGTTTCTAATTGGAACCAGATGTCTATTTTCATTGATTAAAAAGTTAATTAACAAGTTTTAATTAATTAGACGACTGATAATTACGATTAGCCCCCTATAATATGCCCCCCTGGCCGTATAACTCACCTCTGCAAGCGGCATAAGTGTAACTTTCACGGCTTTTTTAAAACAAATCTGTTAAGCTTAAAAAAATAACACCCTGTATATAGTTCTGCCTTCAAGCTTGACTTAGGAAATAAAACACATGTTCAAAAATCACATTTAAAAACAATATTTCCCAGAAATATGATGTAAACGTTTACAACATAAATTTTAATACTCAATGCAAAATTGCTCCTACCTTGATATTACCCGAGACAAAAATACAATGAAACCCCAAAGCAATCATGTTTCGATACTTATCTAGCTATATAATTCATATAGGACTATTAGATATTGCACTAGACTGCGCAAGAATAAATGAATTATGTTAAAACAGCCATTTTTTTAATACTTGTGCTGAAATTTGCGTTAACAAGCAAAATAAATACTTTTCTAGTCATTGATATGGCTAGCCTCCGGTACGCACCTTGAGAAACATCGGCTACAAATGGAACATTTTTCAAAGGCAAATATTTTGCTCCCCGATAAAGGTTTGAGTGGGAAAAGAGCCTTCGACGCCATACCTCAGTGCTAGATTTGTTTGCTTGAGATCTAATATGGTCCTTGTAGCCAACCTCCGATATATTGCAACGTCAAACTATGACCAGAGGGCAGAATTAAAAGGTTCATACGCATAGTTTTGACCGCTTGATTTGGCATTAGGTATTCTAAACCCGACTTGATATATGCGTATTTCAGACTGGTGGGGACGGATGCCGGAACAAATTACGGATCGCATATGCTTCATTAGTTTTTTTTCCATCCACAATCAACGAACTGATTAAAAATGTTATAAATAAATATGCATGCCTAATGGCCAGATAACGTAACTGTTGATTGTAATATTTCTAGGAAGAAGGAACTAGGTGTTTTTCCTGTCTACTTATCCAGGATTATGAAGCGACTAAAGTGTATTATTTTGCATGTAAATAAGAAATGTTCACGGCTTAATTCCGAACTTACACAGAGAATAATATTCTCGCCGTGAACTTTGAGGGTTGCCGTGTGTTGAGCAACCACCGACAGAAATTACCACCGCGGCAAAGAAATAGTGGGCATTTCATTTTCTTACCAATATTTTTCCCCTCGCCTCAAAGAGGTTGAGAGAGAGAGATAAAGGAAGAGAGAGCGACCACCGCTCGTTCCGCCTAAAAATAAATCTCGTTCTCTGCCTATTCTACCACGTCCGTCTCAAGCATCGCTCACAACACTCGCACCCAAGAAACCCGGCTAGAAGAAAAAAATAAGAGGCAAATGTACCCTATAAAAGAACGAAGATCCAGCACTAAATGAAGAGGGTGTGAGGCAAGAAAATAGAGAAAACGGAAAAGAGATAAAGAAATAGAGATACGGAGGGAAAGATTGAAGGAGAGAGAGTGTAAGTACGTGTGTTAGGCAACGGAAGACGCTGGACGACGAAAGCCAGCGGCGTATGTACCAGGCGCAGAACCGGCGAAATGTGTTCGTCGGCTTTTTTTTTTTAATATTTTCTTTGCGCGGGGCGGAAGGATTTACAGACGGGGCAGGGAGCTCCTTTTCCCTTCTTGTGTTTGGAAGTGCATTCGAGGAACGATTCGCTTCCCGCTGCTCTCTTATAAATTTCGTTTCCTCTTTGACTTTTTCTTTTTCTTCATTGGGTCTTGGTGTGAGGTGGGGGTGGTGGAGGAGTGGAGAGGTTTATGTGAGGGTGAAAGACTTGCAAAGTGAGTCGAATATCAACTGCTCGAACACAAAATCCTAAAACACCAATACAAAAAAAAAAAAAATATGCAGCACTATTAGTGTCGCGGCAATGCAGGAGGCTCTTAAATTGGCGGAAAGAGAACAGTGTTATACTTTTACTCTTGCTACAACTGCTTGAAATCGAGCGCGCGTTTTTGCTACGCTCGATATTCGACGCTTTGGTCCGTTTGCCACGAGACAAGGCAGAACAGCGATGACACCCCGCGGGGAGTACAGCGAAATTGGAAAACGGGGAATTAACTGAGGGCTTGCGATCGAGCAATCCATAAGGGACCACTCGTCGTTCGAGGTCTCTCGTTTCTAACAAAACACAACAAAACAAACACAGCCAAGAAACATTGCGGAGTAACCTCTTTTGTAAGGCGGTAAAAGGGTAGTTTTTCTTTATGTCTATAAAACAACCATAGTACTAGTTTGCTATGTTTATAAAAAGATTAGTACTCAATGTTTACTCACAATTCCGTAGTCACAGGGAGGTCGAGAAATCCAGGGCATGATTTGTAATCTTCACAGTTCTTGCTTCGCTATTTGGTTGTCGACATTTTTATTGGATAATGCTGCGAACGCATCGGCCGTGGAGCTGTAATACTTGAAACTCGTCATACAATGCGTTTTCTTTTAGATCTGTCAGTGACTGTGGCAATATGCGACTCGTAGGACGCGAGTGAATTGGTCAATCGGGATACATCTTGTTAGCTGGTGGCGCTCTGTGTGGCGCATTTCTGATTTTTGATTTTTGCCACGAGAGAGGCGGAGGCTATTTATTTCTGGTCGGGCATCACGAACAATATGAACGCGGAGAATCATTGACAGGAGGAAGACTGTACAGGAATAAAATAAACCTGATAACCGTTGAAAAAAAAAATGCCGCCCGCAACGAGATTTGGTGCGATCACAGTATATGCCCACGAAAGATAATAACTTGATTACTTGCGAGAGCAAGTGCAATCTGTTCTTGAGTCTCAATAACTTGCAGGGAGGTGTACTGTTGGCTTAAAGTCTCATCAGCCAGTTGCTGATATTCGTGATGCATGTTCTGATTTATGTGGTGCGCCGCAACAGGTCGGTGTAGATAATGGAAGCGAAGACAGACTCTGTCTATTTATACGTCACGCATAGTGGAACGCTTTTGTTTCTCAGGAGCGTCCTCAATGCCCCATAGAAGTAAGCCTGATTTGTTGTTGCGTGATACTAATCTAAGTAAATTTCTCACGCAGGGCTTGTATCTTCAATGAAAAAGCGTAGCTCTGTTCAAAATTGGGAATCCCTAGAAAACTGCATATTTAAATAAAGCATGAAACACTCTTAATGACTGAAGGAACGCTGTTTTTGTTGGAAACCTGCGCCATATGGAGCAATGTGAGTATTCATTTCGAGTAGAGGATAGGGTACAAAACAGTGTACACCTTCTTCCAGAATGTTCTCCGGCGCTCAATCTGACATTCAGTCGCGCTACAGCATTCTCGGAAACTCACCTAGATATTTCCAGGTCGCGCGATCTGCTCTAGAGGTAAATCGCGTTACTTAGCTGCCCTAGCATAGAGTACGACATGGGCATTAATTGTTACTTGTACTATTAAGCGGCGTGCGGGCGGTGCACCTAAAATAACTTTAGATCTTGCATGATTACCTACGTATGCCTCAAATAACACTGAAATGCGTCTTGTAGCCACCATCATATCAAAATAGGGACAGATTACACTTTTTATGAAATAGATGTAGCATAGTCCGCAGAAGAAAGGTATATCCAACAACCCGCACTGAAATCTCCAACAATGTCATTGAACAAGTTAAAGATTTATATATATCTAAATTAATCAGGGTGTCTCATATACAGTTACAAGGAAAGTGATCTTTATTATAGCATATAAATAAGTGCATAGTCATTGAGGTAGCTTCTTCGTTCATTAGGCTATTCGACATAACAGCGCGGAAGGCATCTACGGAGGGTCACTGCCAGCTTTCAGGAGCTTGCTCCAGAGGATGGCAGGCGTACGCTACAGTTCGCGATTAACGAAAACTACGTGGCATCTTCACGTGAAACGTGTTCCTGCCTCATTATGCAACCTGCAATGAGAGTAAACGCACCCTCAGCAGCGGAAACAAAAAAAGAAGTCTCGCTGAAGAATGTCTTGCGTTTCTTCGGTTGCGGCTACTTTTACTTCTTTAGACCCGAGTCCAAAAATAGGTATCGGGGGAGACCAAGTTCGTGTCTTTTTCTCGTGCTGACTAACAAGCGCGTAGTCGCGCCAACAGCTTCACGGAAAGACCGACAGGAACCGCTTCGTCGTTCGCTGGTTTGGCAATCATTGTGTCGACACAATTTAAAGGGCAGAGGCAACATATGAGAAAACTTTGTTTTATTTGTTAAGATTCTAGAAGAAAAAAAAAAACGGTTTTAATAGAGCCGCCTTTTTTGACGCAGTTTAAGTGTTTGAGAGGAAACTTGAAGATAAATGTCATTTATTCTTTTGTGTGGAACAAAAGCTTCAGACTCGTAAATAAATCTTGGATCTATGAGAGGGCCACATCAATAACTGTAAAAAAGTCATTTTAGTTCAGTCATTTTTTAAAACTCGGGCGCACCATACTATTGTGTAATAAAACCGTAGTTTTTAGAATGCATTGCTCTGAATTGATCTAGAATCTAGCCAACCTTGAACATATGATGACCTAAATTAAATTATTTTAGATATTGTTATGTTCACTTATGTATCGCTCCTTAATATGAAAAATCTTATGTGGTCGGAATGTATGGTTATAGAACGCTTTCAGTGACGCTCTAAGATTTTCTTTCACTCGATCTCTAGGTTTATGCCTTTTAGGGAATCTAAAATCAAGGATTTTATTGGAGACTGTACGACACACTTATGTAAAATAGTGCTGCATAGAAATGGAAACGTCTGTCACCCCTTACATACAGTTAGCGGCAAGGCACCCTCTCTCCGTAAACCGGCATTTTTACCTTTTTAAATTTACATCAGTGATCCAGAATACAAAGAAAAGAAAAAGAAACTAGGAAGACCTCCTAGATAGTTCAACAAGCAATTGATGACGTATCTTCAACCTCTCCGTCTTGTCCTTGCGCAGGGATCCTAACGACAAGACTCCCAACAAGAGTTCCGGGAACAGCAACCACTCCAGCAAGTCGGGCTCCGACTCAGGCGGCTGCATGAGTCCGCCGGACAGCAGCGTGGTCAAGGGAGGCGACCGAAAGCCCTCACCACCACCAGCACCCCTCCACCTCCATCTGGGAAACCTCCCGGGAAGTCCAGCAACACCCACTTCGGACATCTCCCTCCACCACCACCACAGCATGAACGGGCTCTTCGGCTCGGAGCTGAAGACGTCCACGTCCACGCCTGTCCTGTCCCATCCGTCGTCTTCGCTGTCAGGAGACCCATCGTCAGTCCTGCCCGGAACCACAAGCGGCTTCAGGTTGGGCCATCCGCTTGTCTCGGCAGCGGCACTGACTGACCTCAGTCTGGGACTGACACCGGACTACCAGGCCTTATGACAATCAGTTGCGGGGACAGCCGGGGAATCCGGCTGGTCCCCGCTCTGTCTTCTGCCACCGGAGCCACCGCCCCACTTGATGACCTCCCAGACAAGAGGCTCCAGGGCAGAGTCCATGTTCTGCACGTGAGAGGTTCACTTGGACCATCACATCGCTTCGAAAGACGAGCTCCTTGCTTGAAATCTGCTCGGACTGCTGCCGCGCTGAGTGGCCTCACGGACTAGTCGGCTCCGAAAAAGCACAGTTTGCCGAGTGCTAGTCGTGTTTAGGAAGCTCGGAGATTGCGCTGGTGATAGCTTGTGCGTGTGGCCATCTGCATGGTGAACCGCTGTGAAACCACAAGGCGTAAGGTGGCGCGAGGCCATGTGTGTGTGTGTGTTTGTGAAAGAGGTGGGGCGACAGTCTAGGAAACTTGGGTTGCCGTCAGCTGTGCCACGCTGAGTATCGACTGTGTCACCTGAGGTGTCATCTTTCTGCAAGATGTCAGGATTCAGTGACGTTCCGGACCACGAATGCGTGCAGTGGATTTTCGGAAAGCTCGTTTTCATGACATCCTTAGACGTTATCACGGGCATGCATCCCACAAAAGATAGATGCTAGTCTTTTGTTCATCAACAGAGTCGTGCAATAGTCGGGCGTGGCTCTAACAAAAGAAAGAAAGGAAAACAATCCAAATAATATTGCATAACGTTAGCGAATAAGCTGGGAAGAAAAGAATCCGACTATGTTGCAGGTGCACACCTATTCATAAAAAAGCGTTTCCAAAGCATGCAAGGTTTTTTTTTACATTTCAAGACATGACGAACTTGCTACGACTTCACTACACCAAGAATCACAACGAATTAACAGACGCCAGGATACTTGGTTTGTTACATTCTTCATTTGTATAGAGATGTTGTCCCATACGGTTTATACTCGACTCGCTAGGAACACGAATCATTATTTTTATTTTGCAGTTTTGTTTTTCTTGGTAAATGTGATAGGAATGTGGCGTACACATCCAAATTGAAAAGAAATTAGATTTGTGTTTTTAGTATATAATGATTTGCTTGATGTGTGGCTGTATAGAAGAACAAGAGCACCTGCTGCAGTGCATTGAAAGATTACAAGTGTCGTTTATGTCTGTCTGTATGAAATGTGACTGAGGTAGTTCGCGATAACTTTTTTCTTTAAATTCACTGATACCACTGGCGCTGCAAATCTTCTGTTCATTTTGGTAACAAATGTTAGGCGTTACAAATTGGTCTGTTCTTAAAAAAACAAAACAAAAAAAAAAACACGTGAGTACCTTCGACGTTTCCTGAACGATTGTTCGGATAACAAGACATCATTTGCGACGGAACTAGGAGAGGTCTCTTGCCTAAGATTAAAGAATATCTTGTGAAGAGTGTGAGAGCAGACATTCACCATGTTGTCGGCTTACTACATGAGCACCCTACGGGTGTTTCTTTACTATGATTTTGGAAGTGCTATGTTGGAAATATTTTGAAAACATCTGAATGTCTTCATGGATGAACTCCCTTGGAAATATCAGACTGACCAGATTTCTCGGTACAATGTGAAGGATGTGCTTTACGATGAATGTATTGAACATATTTCTGTGCTTTTGTTTTTCTGGTACAGTAATGCCACGAGAAGGTTTGTCTTGAAACGTCAGTTGTACTTAAAAAAATTGTATCTCGCAAAAAAAAAGTCCAGAAGGTACTTGCAATCACATTGAATAATAATATAAACCAGATGGTTCATAGGCAATTTAAAGTGGAATATAAATATATAAATACAAATATTATATTGAGTAAGTTAACTGTCCATACCTTTCGCAGCGAGTAGAAGTTGGCAACATCTGGACGTTGCTGGCTTTTTTGTAAATAGTAATTGACGATAGTATAAATAAACGTAAGGAAAAACCCTGACTTTGTTTTTGACTTGTTTATTGCCTTCCCTACGTTTTGAACACCCTTACATGTCTAGCGTGTAATAAATATATAAGGCTTACACGAAGTGATTTCCGCGAACAAAGTGACAACGTCATAGCGCCCACTTTTAAATGTTAGTTTGAAGAGTGTTGTAAAATTTAAATATTAACAAACTTCCTGAACTCAAGCCCTAAAGAGCAATTAAGTTTATTAAAAACAACCACTCGCATTTATATCTGTATATGGTAATGTAATTATGTTAATCAAACATGCAGTCCTGACGTCGAAAAGATCTTCTCATTGATGTTTTTTTTTTTTTTTTATTTCTTTGGCGTGTTTTTTTTCCGCCCAGGGGGCAGAGATAAAGGAGTGAAGCCTTTATCTCTGCCTTTTCTTTTCACGTGCTCGCTCATTGATAATACTAATGACAATTGCTGCATAATAAACAATTTTACGAAAATACATCACATTATATGAAGTGCATTATAATACTAAAATTTGTACACTAACAACGTGTACCAAGGTTTGGACGCGTATCGACTTTTTCCAGCGGGGCGTTTGCCGAATTACAAGCACCATGGTCAGATCCTGCACCTTAATTATACTTGGATAAACTATGAGCCGACACGTTACCTTAAATTAAAAAGAAGGCAGATGATTTTGTTTGCATTTATAAATAGGCTTCCTTTGAAGATATATAGCTACTTAGATAATAATAATAATATGAATAATAATAATATCTTTATTTCCATTTGCAATGGTGGAGGCCGAGAAAAAAGCCGCATGAATTGGCTTGACGAGCTCTCGGCCCCCGAATTACGTTCTGCAGCAGTGACAAGGCGAGAGAGACTTAAAAAACACACACGCACACCAAAACATTAGTCGTCTACAACAAAATGGCACATCAACGCAGGCAATTCTTTCATGCTGATGTTATCTAGGTGAACATCACTCTGAATAAAACAATTAAGCAGTTTAGGTAGTCTGTAGAATAACATTTCTTTTCCTAGGTTTAATCGGCAAGTAGGTACATTCCAGTATTCAGGGTTTCGAAATTGATAATTGGGAACGCGTTGGTTTAAACCAGACATTTCAATTATGAAAGTACGGTTACTGAACAATTCATGTTTGTACTTTATAAACATGTATAAACATGTATAAACATGTTTATACATGTTTATACATGTTTGCAGAAAGCCTATAATTATACATGCTGTAGATACTTAATATATTATACATTCTGAACAGGTTTTTGTATGCGAGCAGAACGACACATTACCAATTGTACGTTGCATTTGTTTTTGGAGTAAATGTATCATCTTAAGACTTGTTGCCGTGGTAGTACCCGAAACCAGGTGGCAGTAATTTAAATGAGCAAAAAATAGAGATGTATACCAAAATGATTTAATGGACCTCGGAAATATATATCGATTAGGATATACCAGACCTAAAACCTTTGCTAATTTATTTTTTAAATACTCAATATGATGGTCCCATGACATGTTTTGGAAAAGCACAATGCCAAGCGTTTTGAATGACTCAACCAATTAAATATTTACCGAGTTTATATAATTGTGTTCTAATGGAGCAATAACTTTATTTTTCGGCCTAAATATCATATCTTTTGTTTTATTGGTATTTATTTTAACGCGTTTTATCGGTCCATTTTCTTAATTTATCTAGCACCGTGTTGGCCGTAGATATAAGTTGATGTGCCTTATCAGCAGTGAAAGGAAGCGTCGCCCATCGTCAGCATATAAAACAAACATAGTTGTCTGGTCAATTTTCTCAACATCATTGACCTAAACGTTAAAAAGAAAAGGTCCTAAAATACTGCCTTGAGATATTCCCGATATTACCGATTTGATTGGGGAAATGAAATTATTACTACAAACGTATTGTTTGCTGTTTCCAAGATAGCATTAAGGAAGAGTTAAAGCTTATCCGCGAATTCCATAATATTCCAGATTTTTCAATAATAGTTCATGGTTTAGAAAATCAAAAGCCTTAGTAGAGTGTACGTAAATACCAAGTACTAGTTTTCGTTTCTCCAGATTTCTTAAAATAAATTATTTCTCTGCAAGTAAGGCAAGTTCAGTTGATTTCTCCTTTTTAAATCCAAACTGAGATCTTGTAATTAGCTTATGTTTGTAAAAAAAAGTTAGACAAGCAGGCAGGAATAACTTTTTCAAGTCCCATTGAAAAGACTGGCAGTATTGATACAGGTCTTTAGTTATTAATGCCATTCCTATCTCCATTCTTGTACAGAACGGAAACCTTGGCTACTTGCATACGCACAGGAAATATTCCTGTCAATATGCACAAGTTTGAAATATGTGTTACATAGGGTGTTATAATGTCTAGAACATACTTTACTGGCTTAATCTGGATATCATCAACATCTCTACTCGTAGTGTTCTTTAAATTCATAAACACCGAAAACACCTCGGTATCAATAACTTAATCTAGAAAAACAAAATTCTCCTTCCTTTTTCCGGTGTACAAACATGCTTCGTTACTGTATGCGTTTGTAGCTAAGTTTACAAAATGATCGTTAATCGCATTAACTTAAGCAACATCTGTAAGTTCTGTATCATTCACACGAGGCTTTTCCACACCAATATGAGACCAGTCACATTGTAGGACGAATTAATCATTTTCCATAGAACATCAACACGTCCACTTGACGAGCCCAAGTTCCTATGATAGTAATCCGCCTCTGCCTTTTGAAAATTCTTTGTTAGCCTATTTCTACATAATTTGAAATTGTTTAGATCCGTCTGATCTCCTGTTTTATTAAATTTTTCGAACAATCAATTTTTTATATTGATCTTCGATGAGATGTGTGGGGTAATCCAACGCTTACGAATTATTTTGGATGGTTTAAATGTCTTATACGGAAAACTGCTTGCATACAGTTTTTTTAACCTGTCCAGAAAAATATTGTACGCTACATCAGGGTTTGTTTCATTAACAACGAGAGACCAATTTTCATTTCTAATACATTCACGAAACTTTTCCAAGGTTATCAAGCGTGATATCTTGAAAAGGCCTGATGGACTTTTTGTAATTTTTATGGCATCGCTTGCCTGTTATGCAAAAGAAAGTTGGCAAATGGTCACTTATATGATAATTTAAAAGTCCGCTGATCACACAAGTGTTATCAACATTTGTGATAAAAAGATCAATAAGGGTTTTCGTGTTTTCCGTGATTCTGGTTGGTTTGGTTATCACATTAACACAATCATACGTAGCAAGTAGAAAGTCGAAGTCATTTTTAGGTTGGTATTAAGTAGCATGTTAATCTTAAAATCACCTCCAATTATGACAGTTAGCTTATTGTCACTACGGAAACCCAGGAGAGTGTCAAAGAAAGCAAGAAGATCTGGAATGTTGCCATCAGGTGGACAGTATACCACAGAAACATACGTATCATCTCTCAGCAAAGACAGGATTTCATAATCACTAGAGATAGAGAAAAAACATGGTTACAGTTCACAGTCCATGACTTATTTTATTAGTGTACACATACCTCTACCACGACTAGTGGTGCGATTTAAACAATAGGCATTGTAGGATGGCAAATGAAAAACGTCCCCTTCATCAGAATACCAAGTTTCAGTTAACGTAATTACATCGAAAGGAATTTCAAACTGTCCAAAAAGACACTCGAGGTCAATGACTTTGTTCTTTGCAGAACGTACATTTAAATGGAAAGCCCGTAAGGAAATATTTTTTCCGATTTCTATCTCCCGTAGGGAGATGGAAATCGGAATCCAGTACATTGACAGCTTGAGCGGGAAATAAAAAAATAGGGCCAAGATAATTAGTACCTACATAATTATAGAAGCTGAATTCATACAGACGGCACATATACATGGAATTTATTAAAAATCCGCATCCGGATAGTCTCATAAGCTAAGATACGCCCATATTTTTTCACTCACATATAGACTGGAGCGTTCAGTAAAGAAGCCTGATGTTGGAGGCGTTTGCCTATTAACAAGCTGACTGCTTTCGTAACCACGGTAGCAAATGCACAGTTGCACAAAGATGTCCACTTGCTAATAATTTACCGTCTACAAAAAAAAAGAAGGCTTTGTGCAATTTAGATTGAAATATTGCCACTGACAACTTAAGATGCGATGTATTCTGCGATTTACGAGCTTCCTATATTGTCGATCCTCAGTCCATAAGATCGCAGAATAGTTCGATGTGTTCGCCGAACAACGAATCGCGAAGCAACGAGCATGCGCATAAGACACACCCGGCGTTTATTAACCTGTCAAACTAAAACGACTTTGCATTCGTTTTAGTTTGTAATGCAGGACGTTGTTGAGAAGTCTGAGAACGAACTACCAGAACGTTCTGATGTCTACGATAAGAGAAGATGAGCGTGCCGTTTCGTTGATAGATCATGTTCAGTGTCGCATCGCGGGTTTTTGTATTGAGGTCGAAACATATTTTCGGCCATTTCATCCTCCAGGTTTTCTTTTCTGTATCTCTGCGTTTGGCTCACCGAGTATTTGGTGAGACAAAAAACGCGCGGGTAATATTTTAAACGGGTTCAGAACGCATTACATGGTAGCAGAACTAAAGCCATTTGACCATTAGAAAAACGGCACGTCGCCGAATACGGTTGACACTTTCATCGTGAGTTCAATTCGAATTGCCCTCCACGGAGAAGTATGAATGCCTGGATTCCTTGAGCGAACAGAGTAAGATACGGCTCTGCAATACAGCGGAACGCCGATAGTTACATCGTCTGGAAGACACCGCTATAACTCAAGCACACATAGTTTATGTCACTGGATACTGGACAGTAACGTAGGCGATCCAGTAAACTGTGAAAACGAGAAACGTTGACAAATAGAATGTGGTGTTGTGTGAAGTAGAAGCTGCTTTGGAAGGGCCATAAATAATCCCACGAGGGGCTTTTTTTAAGACAAAAAAGGGTACTAGCGTCGTTTCGTAATTATTACTAAACCATGCTGGAA